CGACCATCCACTCTCCTCGTTCCCGGCTTTCTTCTAACATCCTCGCGCCGCAGCTTGCGGACAGCCCTGGAGAAGGGCGCCGCTCCTATCGTGCAGGGGATGTAAGCTTCGGGAGGGGTGACTTTGGACGCCGCGTCTGCTGCGAGGGCTGGGTTCTCTCGACCGTATTTTACCAGACGGCGCGGACGAGTACATTCGTGTACATAAGATGTTGCATTACTGTGCCAACCCTCCCAGGAGGAATATCTCGATCTGGACCACACCCCACCCGCCACACGCCAGACCAGAGTCTGGGTTGCCCTACTGCTTGGCCTCATATGCTCGCACCTGACGCTGAATACCGACCAATTCCCCATGTTTGGAAGGCGGGATAGAAGTGGTCCCTTCCGACTCCGGTACACACACTAGAAGCGCCAATTTAAAAGCTTAAAAGCGTGATTACTTAGGCCATTGTTGACGGTGTCACACACTATGAAGTTCAAGCGAACACTAAGTACCAAGTACGAATCGCATTGAAGACTACGCAATACAACGAAGGCGCATGTTGGCTTCCCCGCCGCAGGAGCGACGGGTACTAGTCCCGAGGGCCACGGAGAGGCCTGCGCCGATACCTCGGGGAGCATTTTTAAACAGAGGTCGTAAGGACCTCCGTCGCCCGTACTAACGTAGGTAGACATGGACATAGAGATAGAGAGAGAGAGGAGCCAGGGACGGGCCGAGCTGGGGCCGGCGCGTACGAGTGTCCCGGAGCCATGAAAACATTCCGCGAGGTTCGCGGAGCGGCATTCATAGGGTCGTGCGCGCCGCCTGACGATCGCCGTCCTTGAGGGTATGAGTGTGGGGAAGAGGGAGGGATAGAGATCGAGAGAAAAGAAAGGCGAATCGAAAACTGGAGGCGGCACGCACGACTTTCCCGGAGCCTGAACTTTCCGACAGGCTTCGCGGAGAGGCAACCATCGGGAGTGCGCGTGCTGCCTGGCGCGGGACCATGCCCTACTTTCGCCGCTGGATTGGACAGCGGGAAGCGATCGGCCGCGCCCTTACTGAGCCTGTACGTACGATTGGTCTCGAAGACGGTCGCTGCGCAGTCAAAGTCAGATCGCATTCGAAACCAATAAGGAAGGCGAGCAACTCACCATGTTGGGGGATTGCCATTGAAGGCGCAGCTGCTGTGCGAAAGTCAGCGTCGACGTTGGCGGAGAGAGTGAGAGAAAGACGCACGAACCACCGGCGGGCTTAAAGTGCGTCTTGTGAGAGCCATCAGCGAGGACCATGAGGGGTGATCCGAGGTGCATACGAGCCTCGTCCTCGGCCTCACGTGCGGTGCGGCGCGAAGCCGCTGCACGCTGTCACTCGCATGCCCATGTGGCGGTGAGGATGGCGAAGCGCGAGCGACGCCAGAGCCTCGGTGCCGAGCGAGGTGAGTGACATGAGCCGAGTCCTAGCGGGTGGTCAGCGCGAGTGGCGCACGACGATGGCGAAGTCAACTCACCTTCGAGGTGCCGTACGCGCTTGGTGAGGCCGACACTGCGAGTCGGAGGGCAGTTGGGAGTCGGAACCGGATGCCTCACCCGGAGGTGAGCATGTCGTCGCCGCTGCCGTTGAGGCTGGCGAGGTGTGAGGGTGTAGTGTGCCGCATGAGCAGGGGTGCGTCGCGGGGGTAGAACATCGTCGAGGTGGTGGGGTCGTGGGGGTTCTGAGGAGAGAGAGCGCGGGGGAGGGGGGCTTTTATCCTCTCCCCGCGGACCCCACCCCGAATCCCGAGTGGCGACCGCATCATGCGAGATCTGCGCAGAGAACAAGGCCGTGCACTCGGCTCGCCCAACGACCCGTCGAGGCCCGCGATATTGGGGTCCCGAGGATCACCTGGCCAATCGCCTCCTGCAGGTCTCCGCGCCCAAGCAAGACCAGGTGCCTCTCGGGTGGGAAGGAGCTCTCGGATCTCAAAGTAGTCCCTGGAAATTGATTTTAATCACCAGAAGCTCTCAGCCGAGTCCCGACAGAACGACCGACGTACCGCGCATGAGAAGACTCGCCCAGAGATATCACGGCGGCCAGGGGTGAGGAGGGCACCGCAGGCCGTCGTGTGTCGCGGATTGGTCGCAGAGACCGAGTTGACGGCACCTAGAAATGATTTGGGGTGCTCGAGTCAGGCCCCGGCTGGTCGGCGGAGTTCAGAGGCGTTGCCAAACAAGAGTTTGGTGTGGGCGTCCTTGGTTGTGAGCGGTGGACAAATCTGACGTCGTCATTTTTAAGCACTCGAACGCGAGCCCGTGCATGTATCTTCCTGAAGCACGCCCAGCGACTCATGCAACTCGTTGAGGAGGTTGTTGTTTTGCTTCCATCGTCTGCCAGCAAACAAGACCTCAGGAGTCCGTACGCAGGGCAGTACGACAAGGTTGACGGCCTATGGGAGCGCTGACAGTGAGATGCCGTTGGATACCAGAAGAGCGACCGGAAAAAAATGAAGATGAGACCATACCTGCCGATTGAGCTCTTGAGGAACGTGGTTGAGAAGAAGACAGCGTTGAGTGCAGCGTTGAACGTTGAGACTAAGCGCCTGAGGGGTGTAAGCGCTGGCTTCAGTCCGCGGGCGAGCGTTCGATTCCATCCCTTGCTGCTTTTCGGTGAATGATGGTTTATTTCAATGAGCCATGTCAGTCACCCCTGATTTCAACAATTTCTACTAATACGATGCCCAGAGTTAGAGCGAAACCTCGGGAAACACGGAATCCGGAGCCCCAGACACCACTTCGGAGATTCCGCGTCATCCTCCACTTCAACCGCAAGACGTGCACATCAGGAAAAAACGACATGTCTCGGGAGTGCACCCGAGGCTCGAGAGCAGTTCGAGTACGGCGTGACAAGTCCCCCTCTCTCGAGGCACGAGAGCTTGGCAGGGCGCCTCGCGGGCGCTCGGGAGACACAGCCGGCAGCTCGGTGAGCACTGTCGAGTAGCTTCGAGTTTCGTCTCGAGAGTGCTCGAGAGGCTTCTTGAGCATGATATGCACTCCCGATATGATTCACATCCCGGATCTATTTCTGTTCGCTGCTAGATATGCGTTTGAAACAAAATATATTGAAGTAGGTATACTAATACAGTCCCGCTCTCCGTATCTACAATACATGGGTTGACCCACCACACAACATGGGAACAGGCGAGAAAGGCGACGTCGTGGAGGCGCACCGAGCCAAGCACCCACTCGTCTGTCACGTCGTCCGCACGGGTGAGGAAGACCTGGGCTGCGAGGAGCTCCGTGGAGCGCGTTTCGAGCGGCACGATGGTCTGCCAGTGCTCCTCGCGCACGGCGCCGCCGCAAGCTCTCGCTGGAGCTCGTTCCTGCATGTCTCAACCCGGGAGGCGGCGGTGTATGTATCTTCTGTTAGTGTCATATACGTAGTACAACCAATGTGTACACACTGTAAACAAATTTTTATCGAACTCCTGGGGTATCCTGTGCGCCGAGGGCATCTCGACAGTCCTCTCGTGGCGTCACTCAGACACGCGAGGGCTCGGTAGTAGCTAGCTGTAGCTCTCAAGGTGTTGTGAGCAACCACTGCAACTCTGGAGAGCTCGCGAGCTCACCGCAGTGCTCGCCGCTGCTCGGACGACCTCGGTAGCATCAGTCATTACGCTCGAGCGCTCGAGAGCTCTCCCGGCCATCAGTGACAACCAGCGTGTGATCCCGAGTCCGGGCCGAGGCTCTCGCGCCAAGCACTTTTTCCTGATGCATCTCCCCGGAGGGACCTAACCATCAATTCTCCCTTTCCCTCTCCTTCTCCTCGTGCTTCCTCACTTCCCGCTCCCCCCGCGCCCTGCTCGGCGAGAATCGCATCCACATCCGACTGCGCCCGCGGCGGGAACCACACGTTCCGCGACGCCATCATATCCTCGTACCGCCGTCCTGCGAGCTCGAGGTGGAACACCCTAGTGATCACCGGGGCGAGCGTCGAGCGCGTAAACGCGAGGCGGACGACGCGCGCCCCGCCGCCGTCGTCCACGAACTCGCGCGCCCACCCGGGCCAGTCCCGCACGTGGTCTTTCGTGCAATCGTGCTCGCCCAGCGGCGCGGGGACGCTCCACGAGGACGCACTGTGAGCATAAATGTAGATTATATTCACCCGGGCACAATGGGTTCTTTTAATCTGCGTCGTGGGTGATGGCGATCAAGCGCCGGGTACTTGCAACCACTGTTGCGTGTTAATGTGCGGCGTGATTATACCCCCGGATATTTCCGGAATCACTGGTGAGCCCATCCGCTGGCTCGCGCGAGATACTGCGGGTTATTTGTACCCCCTGGGGATTTTCACCTCCCCATGTCGCGGGTTATTGGTAGCCGCATTGCACTGCGTTGGTTCACTGGGCTCACGGGTTCAGATCACACGCCTACTGGTCCTGAGCAGCACAAAATGGATGGATACGGATGCATTGGCATCATTCAGACTAACAGCGCGCTCCACATGCTTCTACTAGTGCGTAAGAGGCTACTTCGGAACCACCTTACCCAAATTGCGCCGCTTGGGCGACGGCCGAACGTCCTCCTCACCCTCATTCTCGTCGTCGTCCTCCCCCTGAGCCATGAGCTCACGCTTGACCGCCTTTGTCATCCGCTCCTTCGTCTTGCGTGGTGCCTTCGTCGGCTTCTCCTTCTCCTTCGAAGCGTTGGCCTTCGCCTTCTTCTCCTTCGTGGCGTTGGCCCTTGTCGCCTTCTTCTGGGCATCATTCGCCTTCGCCTGCTGCGCTTCTGTCTTCTTGCTTGCTGTCTTGCTCGTTGTCTTGCCCTTCTCAGGGTGCTTCTTGCCAGTTGCGGCTTCAGGAGCCCTGTTGTGACCCTTTGACGGTGGCTTGGTCGGAGTGGCAGGTGTGGTATAGTTGACAGCGGTGTCGGGCTCAACGTTCTCGTCGGGGTGGTTGCCATCACCGTCTTGGACATCGGGACGGGGCATCACCTATGGTAGGGTATCACGGTGCTCGACTTCAGGCAACGCGATTGAGATAGGCAATGCAGCGAACTCACCTGTATGCCATCGTCCTGTTCCATTGGCATGCTCTCCTCATCGTCGTGATTGTCGTGGTCACGGTCTGGGCTGTCGTCGTCTTCATTTCTGGACTGCCTGGCCTGAGCCTCGTTGAAGCCGTTGTTCGCGTCCTCCTTGCCGCTCGGTGGGTGGCTTTCATCCAAGCTGGAGCTGTCGTCATCGGAGGACAACGAAGAGTCTTCTTTCTCATCATCCTCCGAGCCATTGTTGTCAGCGTCGTCTTCGTCTTCATCGCCTTCATCCACAGAGACCTCCTCATCGTCGAGGATGCCGTCTTCATCGTCGATGATCATGTGGGCATTGTCATCCAGTTCAGAGTCCTCGCTGTCATCACTGACGATGGCCTGGACCTTCTACAGCATTGAACCGGAGTCGTTAGGTGGGAATAGGGCAGTATACTGTATGATATGCTCACCTTGACATCAGGCCTCAAAGCGGTCTGCGATAGCACCAAGACACGATGGCCATGCTCGTCCTCTGTGATGACTGCAGTGCCGTCCCGAATGGCCTTCTTGCGGCGGTTAGAAAGGTACTGTATAAGGATCTGTGTGATTGCCCAATCGCCCTGGAAGCGCTTGAGGTACGGTTGGTCATGGCGGGCCTAGCCACGTTCAGTTAGATATGGTGCTAGAAGCAACAAGACGGTTACACACCAGATCATACAGGTCCCCCATCTTCTTTCGGTCCTGGGACCGGATTCCCTTCAGAATATCAAGACGCACGGACTTGCTAGCATCCCGAACAGATGCCTGGTTGGGAACACACGATAAGCATTAGCTCCGCGCGATGACAGTGGTTACTCACAAGGCATTGAGAATAAAGGGGCTTGTTCCTGTTCAAACCCATCTCGTGCTGCAGACGAAGATCCTTGCCAACGGTGCCCTTCGGTTTAGGAATGAGTCGCTCCACATGGTTCAGGCGTCTGCGAGACTTCTTCGCTGAAGCCTCCAGCTTCCGGGACTCCTTCTCTAACTCTGCCACTTTGGCTGTATATAGAGTGAGATGGGGGTGGATTAGTGCGCGATGCGTGATGTATGAACGAGTATTCTCACCTCGAAGCCTCACTAGCTCGGCTTCTGCGTCCCCCTTGTCACGCGCCATTGACGCGGAAGTGTGCTTCACACCTGAGGTGCTGTTCGACTTTGCAGCCTGCTGCATAGAAGTGCCCTTTGCCTTGGAGGGTGTCTTGTTCGTCGGCTACAGTATGCACATATAACGGAGAGCAGTGATCATGAGATCTGCTGCTGCAAGCTCTGATAGATACAGTAACACTCGCCTGATCACTGCCGGGACTTCCTTTCGTAGCCTTGACAGGTTTTTTCACACCGCCATTGGTCGACTTCACTACCGGTGACAGTGTATGTGAGCACTTGCAAGCCAGAAAGAATGAGAACATGCACCTTTACTAGAACCTGCTGGAGGTCGGTTCTCTTTCTTAGATTTTGGGGGCATAGTGAAGCAAGGAATTTGGGTTGATAGAACAGAGCTGAGCTAAAGGAGAGCGACGTGCCAGCGATTTCGCAAGGAGATTTTGGAATGAGTGGCTTTTCACACGGTCACCTGATGGGGTATGGCTCACCGATGGGACTCAGGAGTTCACAGACTCGCTCCGAAATCTCTGCCAATAAACCCTTTGCTGCCACTACTCGCCTTTGTTTACGTCTGTGTGCATGTACCGTTGGGATTCCAGGTTAGAATGCATCAGATCTCCTTTAATACGGTTCTCAGTACTCACCTGAACGTAGATGACAAAGTCAGTAAAGCCAAAGGCTAAAGTTGGAAAGTCAAAGTCGGGACAAAGAGCTACGGCATCCACCGCTTCTTCTTCGAGTCGCCCCAAACCTTCAGAGAAGAAGAGACGGTGCGTTTGCGGATGTGGGAAGAGGCTGTCAGAACGGATGATCAGGCATCATCGGAAGGACATGAAGCTCCCTCACATGGGTCTTGAAGCGTACCGACGGCGTGTCCTCATAGAAGGACTGCAAGAGGACCATGCCTTGGACAGCAGAGACTCAGGTACACCAACTGAAACCGTGCTGGAAGGAGGGGGCATGGAGCCCGTTTTCAACATCGGCGAGCTTCAGATTGATGTTGAGAGGGAGCCGGAGCCGGAGGGGAACACCCTGGAGGAGAATGACTCCGTCAGTGAGTGCATTGGTATATGAGAGATGAGCGGGGAAAGCTGAGGTTGGTTAAGCAGCTCTCGATGACGATGCAGAACAGAACATACGTAACGAAGACGCTGGTGAGGGTCTGGAGCCGCCGAAGCACATCAAAGATGCCCTCCGCCTCAGTGCGCAGTGTCGTGCTGTGCTTGTGGAGGAGGTCGAGGATGAAGAGGCGAGCCCAGACCCTGCCGAGTCTGGGGACAGTGACGATGAAGAGGAGGACGAATGGGGCACTATGGAGTACTGGGAAGACGTTCTAAACCCTGGGATTGAAGACCGCCTATACGAGAGCCTGCGGCAAGAGATCTCAGACATCCAGGACCGCCTGACGAAGAGCGACTTTGCTATCCTGAGGGCGTACACGTACAAGCTTAAGCACAATCTCACCGAAAGCGCGCTAGAGGACTTACCGTACGTTCTCCAGTCTTCCGAACTCCCCACCCTCCACAAGATCAGAGCACGTATCGCTTTCCTATCTGGCATCACCCCACATCGATATGATTGCTGCCTCGACTCCTGTATGGCGTTCGTTGGTCCGTCCGGAGAAGAAGTGAAGTGTCTGTACTGCGGTTTGAGCCGATATGACGAAGACAAAAGGCCCCGGAAGCAATGGACATACCTGGCACTTGAGCCGCGCCTCGCGGCCCTCTATCGACACCGACCTACTGCTGTGAAGATGCTGTACCGAGGTGACTACCAGTCGAAGCAGGGTGTCATCGCAGACTTGTTCGACAGCAAGCACTACAGGACTTTGAAGAACCACAACGTCTTCGTCCATGGCAAGGATTCGGGGCGCAAGTTCTTCAGTGATCGTCGAGACATCGCCCTCGGGATCTCAACAGATGGGTTTGCTCCTTGGCGTAGAAGAAAGAAGACTGCCTGGCCTGTAATCGCTTTCAACTACAACCTTCCACCTGAAGAGCGCTTCCACAAGCAGAACATCATACCTCTATGCGTCATCCCAGGGCCCAAGAAGCCGAAGGACTTCGACTCATTCCTCTGGCCAGCAGTAAACGAGATGTTCAGGCTGGCGCTGGGTGTAACGGCGTTCGACATCCTCACCATGTCAACCTTCCTTCTCTGTGCTTTCATCATTCTCGTCTGCGGTGACATACCTGCCGTGTCAATGGTCATGCAAATCAAAGGTCACAATGGGCTCGTACCTTGTAGAATGTGCGAGATTCGAGGCCTCCCAGAGCCCAACTCCAAATCGACAACCCTCTATGTGCCACTAAACCGGAGTCGCCATCCCAAAGTCCGGAACGATGAGAGTCTTGTGAAGGCATATGATCCAGCGAGGCTTCCACAGCGCACGCACGAGCAGATGCTAGAGCAGGGCAGGCAGGTCATGGCAGCTGAGACGGAAGCATCTCGCAAGCGTCTGGCGCGCGAGTACGGGATCAACGGCGTTTCTTCACTCTTCTATCTGCCCTCCATCTCCTTTCCCACCTCCTTCCCTTACGACTTCATGCACCTCATCTGGGAGAACCTCATCCCCAACCTCATCCTTCACTGGACCGGCACCTTCAAAAAGCTCAACGACGGCAAGCACTCATACCAATTCTCAGCCACAGTTTGGTCTGCCATCGGGCAGGCTACCGCCAAGACCGGAAGCACCGTCCCCTCAATATTCGGTCCACCGCTGGGCGACATCTCAAGCGACAGGTCCATGTGTACGGCCGATGCTTGGTCCATATGGACTCTATATCTCGCCCCGGTTCTCCTTGAAAGCCGTTTTAGTGAGCAGCGCTACTACACTCACTTTGTCGACCTCGTGGAGCTCCTCCTTCTGTGTCTCCAATTTGAGATTACTGTAGAGGACCTCAACAGGATTCGTACAGGGTTCATCAAGTGGGTGAAGATGTACGAGCTTTATTACTACCAGCATGACCCATCCCGTATTTCGGCTTGCCCTGTTACCATCCACGCACTGCTTCACATCGCGGACAGCATCGAAGACATCGGGCCGGTTTGGACGTCGTGGGCCTTCGCAATGGAGAGATTCTGTGGGGATCTCCAGCCCGCTATCAAGAGCAGGCGGTTCCCTTGGGCATGCATCGACAACCACCTCCTGGCCAAGGCCCAGATCACGCAGATCAGACTCATTTACGACGTTGGCACGGAACTGGAGCTCCGACCGAAGCGCGAGGAGGACGACCTGCGACGGGGGGAGATGTGTTTTCCAGAATGTGAGTAACGCATTTCCTCTTGTCATTTGTTCTGTGATTCCCAACGCTCTGTCGGGAGCAGATACCACATGCGTCTTCTCTCCTCCCCGCAAACCGTTTGTCCCAGACCAGGAGCTCCGAAAGAAGATCCTGGGCGCGCTGAGTACTCGTCTAGGCCGCACGAACTCCGCGCTGGTTAAGAAACATACGCCTATGGAGCTCATAGGATGGGGTCGAGTTCGAATCCGGAATGAGGGCGACACGCTTCATGCGTATCGGGTTCAGAGCCGCACTAGGGATGCGAGGGACGCCACTTTTGTGAGAGTGAGTCCCCGCCTTTTCAAAACCTGTTCCAATGCATACCTGATCGCTCGCCACAGTATGAAGTTCTTGTTGACAAGAACAAGCACAAAGCCAGAAAGCAACCGTCCTATGAGCTGCAGACGTTCTACGGCCGACTGGAGTACGTCGTTCAGGTCAACTTTGATACGCAGACGGCACAGCGGCTGGGGCTAGATGTCCTCTCTCCAGACGGGGCAGTCGTTGCTCTTGCCGCAGTATTGGAGTGCGCAATCGAGCGTAGCCACTCAAGGCTTGACATTCACTTCTACCGTAATTTTGGTAGCATTTCTGTGGTCGACCTCAGCTGTGTTCAGTGCGTTGTCGGTCGTGTATGGGATCCTGAAGCATACATGTGGGGCATTGTTGATAGGAGCGGTTCGTTATCCAGAGCTCTCGTAGTAGTAGATGAGTAGCTGTAAATACCAACGCCCTATGCTACATAAACAAAACATATGGCGTGTGCGGTAGCATATCTGAATGTGGGGGAACCCGGGTGTGGCCATCGGAGGGCTGGGGTGTGGATGAAGTCTGAAGACGCATGTGTAGGAAGGGGCTGCAGGATGAAGCGGTGCTATCGAAGGCCTATGAACGGCTACACCTAATGAGGTTAGACGCAGTCCAAACCGAGTGGTATTCGTGGAGATGTGGGAGGAGGAAGCTGTCCAGTGGGGAGTGAGGGCGCGAAGCCGGCTGGGAGGGCCTCGAGTGCGCCGACGTTCGTGCCGACGTCCTCACGGATCGCGGCGTGCGTGCATCCCCCGGTCTTGATTGCCAGGACGTGGCCGGGGGGAAGGGTGCGGTGCTTAATCAGGGACTCCTGGTCCCCGCGGGTGAAGGTGTTGTTCATTGCCATCGCTGCGGGGACGGTGGGAGTGAGCGTCGGAGATGGAGAGGAGGCGCTGGCAGGGCGGAGGGCGCACCGGTGTCGAAATCCGCGCAGGGCTTCTTGCCGAGCCCGTGCACAAGGACCGTCTTGCCAGACCCAACTGACCTACATGCACACGCACTTATGCGCGTCGCGCTTGAGCACCGCGGCTAGACGGACGGAGAACCGAGAGGGAACGCACCTGATGATGCCGACCGTGAAGCCCCTCCTCCAAGCTGAGGGAGGTGTAGACGACCATGTCGCGCTCCGCATGCTTGCCTGCACCGGCGAGCGCCGAGGTGGTGGTGAGCGCGTGCGGAAGAGGAGAAGGCGGGGACATACCGGGATGGTCGAGATGCTCATGCGCGTGCGCATGTGCGTTTGCGCCGCCTGCATATGTGTGGGAAAAAGCACCGTCGCGGTGGGAGGGCGTGCTGCAGCGGCGGTACGGCGGCAGAGAGGGGGTATAGCAGCCGGACGCCGTCCGACTCGGGACGGCAGGACGGAGTGGGTCGCGAAGGGGCTCGTTTGAAAGCAACGGGGGAGGGGTTGAGAGAATATCCGTCGCGAGAGAGAGGGAGGAGCTCACCTGGCGGTATAACATATCCATCGCCTTCCATGTTTGAAGCGTTCTCAGCCGTGCAGCAGCTGCACGCGTTCGCCGTTTGGGGTGGGGAGCCGTTTTGCGATGCCGCAAGCATAAAGAACTGAACGACAAGGGGTGACGATCGGAGCCAGGGAGGGGGCCAGGAGGATTAGAGTACCTGTGGGAAAGCGATGATGCAGCTCGACTATGCGAGAGCCGTCCAGTGAGGAAGAAACCGCGGCCGCGGATGGCTGGAGAGGAACCAGGGAGTCAGCAAGACGGCATGCACGACAGGCTGCGCAAAGCTCACCTAATGAACGCTGCAGGAGCTTGGGCCGGCGTACGACAGCCTCTGGGCGCACCCGGACGTGGCGGAACGGTGCTGAGTCCCACTCGGGACGGGAGCCAAGGCTTCGCGGTTCGCGGTGTGAGGGTGCGGGGGAGCGAGCGGGCGATGACGACAAGCGCGCGAGACCTCGCGAGACCCGCTCGCAAGGATAAGCGCCAGTCTCGCCTTCTCATCGACCGCCATCCCGCGCGCACGCATTCTCCGTCAAGCTTCGACCCCGAGCTCCCCTCTTCGACCGCCACCCCACGCGCACGCACGAACCTTGAAGCTTCGACCCCGAGCTCTGCGCGTCGCCTTCCTCTTCAACCGGCTTCCCGCGCGCGAACCCCGCTGCGGTCCCACCTTCAAGCTTCCACCCTGAGCTCGGCGCGTCGCGTTCCGTGCTGCGCCCGCCGCTCAACCTACCGCAGCGATGGCCAGGATGGCATGGATGTCACACGTTGAGGTAAGTGCGGCTTTACAGCTGTATTTTTGGGACTTACTCCGTACACTGGGCAGAGCCGCGCACACCAAGCCGCGCACTCCTGCCGCCGCACGCGCATTCAGGTCGGCCGCAACGCGGGTAGACGAACGTGTGCGGTCGAATTGAGGTGAGTTCACTCTATGGCGAAGTCGGGGAGAAGTTGTCTCCCTGTCAGCTGCTGTGGCAATCTTTGCCCGCGAATGACAGGGAGATCAACTATACGGCCTCATCCTTTCTGCGCCGTCTGATACCTGGCTCCGGTCGGTCCAGAGCATGTCCTATCGCCTCAAAGCATGCCGACTGAGCGGCATAACTACAGCCGGACGAGCATACGAGGGATCGTGCCCCGGCCCTCCCCTCTCCCATCCCACGCGCTGCCCGCGACCATGCCGCACACACGGAACGGAACCAAGGATCCGCAGGTGAGCACTGGCCTTCTACATGCTCCGCATTCTGGCTGCAACGGCCCCGCTCCTGCTCTCGCGCTCGCGCTACCCTGCCGTCGCCGCGACTGGAGCATCCTCCGTTTCGAGCGCTGTCACCCTGCCGCCTGACGCGGCTCGGATGGCGAGCTCCCAACCGGATGCCGCTGCCGCAGCGTGCTGCTTGGGCGCGATGACGGCAGTTGCGTTGGGCGGTAGTACCTGGTGTCGCCCTGCCGCCAGACGCGGCTTGGTTGAATGGGTCCTCACCGCGTGCGCGTCTGCCGTTCTGCTCTCGCACGGTGCCGCCCCGGTGACGGTTGCTGACCGCTCCGCCTGCAGGCCCCGTGCACCGTTGCGGATGGAGCTGGCGGATGGCTCCCGAGGATCACTCGGTCCGGGTTCGAGTACGGCTCGGTATTCCTCCCCGCCGAGGGCGACCACAACATTACGCAAAACGCCTACTCGTTTGGATACGACCTCGCCAACGCCCTGCATCGGCAGGAGCAGAGGCTTGATAGGGAGGAGGAGGGTGAGGAGGTGGACTCCGATGACGAGGATCTTGAAGACCTCCCAGGTATTCGTCGTGCCGCTCCTGCATCCGTCCACGCTGACCTTCTGGCAGTGGAAGAATGGCGTCGGGTCGTCAGGTCATATGAGAGAGAGACGGCAGCTGCCGATGCAGCAGGCTCCCGAGGACGCACGCCCTCTCCCTGCCCCCTTGGTGAGCCACCTGTGCCCTTAAATCCCAATGGCCGTTTGCTGATTGATTCCCACAGGCAGTGCCCGCATGAGATCGTGCTCACCAGACGGGTGCTCCCCTCACCGGACCGGTATGTGTGCACGAATCATGCCTTCCCAACGCCCGTTGCTTAAGCACATGCCTAGGCACTACCCGCTCCCACGTGCACACCTTGACCCGGAGGGCACAAAGAAAGCGGGCGAAGCTCGCCAAGGACCGCCTGCGCTCGCCGTCATCCAGCCTCACCCGTACCGCACGGGCGCACCCCCCTCTTCCCGCACATGTGCGATCTCATCCTCCCACGTCTTCCTCAGTTGAGATGCCCCCCATCCCATCTGGTGACGCCTTCTACAAAAGGCATGTTGAGGTCACGGAGACCGTGCTGCACGACTTCTCCATCCGGGACGACTACCCTGTTGACAGCTTTGCATATCAGACGAAGCGAAGTCCGATACCTGTGGGTGCGGTAGTTGAGACGCTGGAGGGTCTGAAGGCCCAAGGTTTTCGTGGAATAATATGGGATGGCAAGTGAGCGCCCTTCTCCCTTCACTAAAGGCCCTTTCTGAGAATCTGACTGCCTCAACAGAACTGTGCATCGCCTCCTTGACAAGGACAGAAACATCTTCACAGTGCTAGTGCCCCCACCCAAGTCGCCGGACCTCATCGCCAGCATGGACCGGCTGTTCTCCAAGCTCCACGACCAGCGTGAGGATCCCAATCGTGACACCAAAGCCAACCGCCGAGGTGATTTTTCCTCTATACACTCCGCTATCACAATGGGATCTGGAGCCAAGGTACGTTGACCTCCTTCAATTTCTGCAAGCCACGATACCGACCTCCCTTGCATAGCGGCCCATCAGGGTGCATCAGAAGACCGACTGGACGGCGGCAGCGGAAGAGGCCCTGCACAACGACCCGGACCTTGCAGATCTCTGTGGATGGCAGTCAGGTGATTGCTTGAACGTATGAGACGGCATCACTCGCTGACGGCTAAGGGCTTTCTTAGGTATCTTCACTCACAACTTCCCCCTGGTGTACGGCCACCTCTACAGGACCCTCAATGCGCTTCTGGGACGCGACCCATCCCTGCGACTCAACTTCCCAGACAGGTCCATATACACTGGATTCTCGGTGAACTATGGGCCTCGTACAGCAACCCTACCCCACCTCGACAGCGGGAACTACCCAAGCGTTCCCTGCGTCATCACCAGCCTTGGCCGCTTCAATCCCGATCGCGGCGGCCATTTATATTTTCCAGACCTAAAGATATATATTCGGTTCCCTCCGAAGTGCACAGTTCTCTTCTCCTCCGCCTCCATCAAGCACGGCAACACGGCGGTCAGGGGTGCTGATGCCGAACGCATGTCCATCACTCAGTACGTCGCAGGCGGGATTGTTCGCTTCGTTCGGCACCGCTTCCGTCTCGTCAAGGAGATGTCTCGTCAGGAGCGGCTTCGTCTCGATGGCCCTCCCGGCTACCAGTGGATAAAGCAGAGGTCTAGGTTCTCCACCCCTGAGCTGCTTGTTGACCATCGTCGACAGATGCGTAGCGATCTCGACCCCTACCTGATTGAATAGCGCACTTGTAGATGTGGAGGCGTAGAGGCTTCCTAGCATATCTGTAACCCCGTGCTATGTGAATACAGAGTTTGGTGTGAGTTTGACATTGTGCGTGCGTTGTCAACCAGATCGCTCTTTCTTAACAGCGCGATAGCCCTCCTCCTCCTCCATCTCCTTCAATAGCTGCCTTTTCTTTGCCTCCACAAACAGCTCCTTCCGATGCTCATCTTGGTGTTGCAAAGCCTCTGCATCAGGCTTACGCCATGAATGTTTGCAACCTGGGGGCAGGCCTTGAGATCGAGGCGGCGTGTCGGGGCGATCCTCATTGAACTTATGCAGAGAAGGGGGAGTGCTCTGGCATCCCGATGAGCCACTGTGCCCAGAAACCATGGGTATAGTACTCACAAAAGGACGTATTCTCTCTGAAGGCAGTCTCTTTGAAGACGGTGTTGACATCTCAGTGTCAGTCTCCGAGAGATCCTCGGCGGCATGGAAGGAGGCGTCCACCACAGAAGGTTCCTTCTCTGTCTCCTTTGCGCTGATCTGCAGAAGGGGAGCCTCAAGAGGACCCGGGGAGAGGTCAATAAGCACTGTCTATGGAGATGTGTGGGGTTAGCTCCAAAAATGTGCACACTCTTGCGACACTCACAACTGATTTGCCAGAGTCGTGCGCTATTTCAACAGCGACGCATATGCCAGTTCCGTCTGCAGAAGACACCACGTGATATTGGGGCAGGAGAGGCCCAGAAGCCACGGATACAGTAGTGTTTTGGAACAACGCCATTGGTGGGGAATTGGGATGAGAGAGATGACAAAGACGTATACTACACTAGCACTGCACACTCAAGCTTTTAAAGACTGCAAAAGGTGGCATCGATCAATTCACACGTGACCTCGTTGGACCCAATCATTGAGCGCTGATCGGTCGGAGGTGTTTTTCACTGCTCCAGCTTGGGACGGGTCATTTCCGCCCACAGGCGCTTCCCCAATCAGACGGCGGTGAATATCACCTGCGTCACGTGTTAAACCAGAGTGGGTCTAAATCACCTTCAAACGCCTACTGCCATGAAAACAACCACTCTGCCGGTGATCCTCGGGAAACACCTGGACCGAGGGTGCTTTTTTACCCACATTCTTTCTCACAGTGACGGCGTCCGGAAGAGCGTCGTCGCCCAGTGCACGGGCTCGGCGTCCGCTGCGTGGGTGGACGTCCCTTCGCGGTCTTGGTGGGGGGAGGGCGTGGCGGAGGCTGAGCAGGTGCCGAAATGGAAGAGGATGCACTCCCTCTGGGCGACGTCCTCGAAGTACATCGACGCAATGAGCGGTGTGCCGAGGCCGTCCTTCGGGGAGCTCTTGATGAGCGGGGTGGCGTTGGTGCCGAGCCCGAGGACGAGCAGGCGGTCGATCAGCCAGTTCGGGAACCGGAAGGGCGGCGCGGGAAGGATGTTGTGCAGAGGGTGGCAGAGCGCGACGCGGTCCACCTTGCGGTACTCGGGGAACGAATCGGCGATGTAGATGTCGCGCCATTCCGGTTTGACGGGCTCCCCGAGGAATGAGAGGTTGTACCAGTCTTTCCCTAAATGGACCCGGCGCACGAAGCTGACCCCGCCGTCTGGCATATCGAAGCCCCAGCCAACGCTGTAGCAGACAGAGGAGGGGTCTGTGAGGTTGTCGTTAGTCGGATGCAATAAGAGTCCGAAGTGCTCCTGGTTATCGTCCGCCATGAGCATTGCGACGGTGATTCCTTGGACTTCGAAGACAGGGAAGCGGCATTTCATTCCGTAGTTTGTTTTGTGGAACTTCGGCAGCTCGAGGCGCCCGAAGGGACCGAGCGTCCGTTTCTCGCTGTCGGCAGGCTCATTCTGTGGACCGTGTCACTACAGAAGCAATGAAGAATGCCAACGAAGCACGTACATGTTCTGGTTTCCATTGCCACGGAAGATAGGGCTGGAGAGAGTAAATCGTATTCGGGGAGTAGCGTATATTCTGTGAGTTACCGAAAGTAGACACAGACTGAGCGAGCAAGAAGAAGTGATCGAGCGAGGGTACGTGGAACACGTTGTACGTTCTCTGCCTTGTCATAGGTTTTGCTCCGTAGGTGTACGAGAACCATCGTCCCCATACGAAGAGGCTAGTGTCGAAGGACTGGCGCATGATCTCTTGCTGAAGCCGCTGGAACGCGTGCTTGCCCTCGCCGTAAATGGTCGGCATGTTGACATGGAAGAGACCCATGAGACAGTACGCCTCGTCCTCGATGCGTGTCGTCCGACGGTTGGCGGCCCACGCCATGCGGGTGGCGACAGATTCAGTGGAGTACGACGACTCGTTCTTGAGTGCTTCCTCCCGTATGCCCGTGATATCAGCCAGGAGGCTGGCAAGCTCGATTTTGTTGCCGATGACCTGCCAGTCTTGTGAGACGAAGAGAAGAAAGAGGGGGGCGATGAGCTCCTGGAGCGTCCATCCACGCGTGTGCCAACGGGCCTTCCTGAACGCCGAGCCGGGAGCGTGGAGCGCGTCGTCGCCGGGGACGTCGGCAAGGTAGGCGAAGCAGACTTCGGATGCGGCGTACCAACGGAACATGGAGTTGATCGCTTCTGAGAGCTCTGTGCTGCTGGTCTTGTCGATGCAGCATGCGTCGATCCAGACCCATTTGAAGCCGTGCCTTTCGGCGAGGAGACAGGTGTGTCGGATCTTGGGGGAGACGAGGTCGCGTGGGATCTCGTTGCTGACGTTACAGTGCTCTTCTAGCTTGCAGATCTGCTGGTACGTTTGCTCCCCTCGGTCTTCCCATGTATGCGAAAGGATGGCGTAGCCGCCGATTACAGCACCTGGTGCGGAGAAGAAGTGGAGCTCTGCGCGGTCGGTGCTGAGCAGCCACATCTTTGGAGGACTCGTAAGTCGGTAGACAAAAAACCTGGACATTTTCGACGCACTTCATTTGCGCGATGGAGGGAGCAGACAAGTAGGTTGTGAAGATTTCGTAACACGAGGGAGTATTTGGATGGGTGCCATGAGACGCCCGCATGTCATGATGCTCTACTCAGGATCACATGCTCCTCACCGCACCTTGTTGACGGGGGAAACAGACAGAGTACGAGCGCGTCCATCTTGCGTGACGGCAAGTAGGATCCATTCAGGGAGCGCGCTGGTGCACTGTACTTACGGCCACTTACGGGCATGCTCGTCGCTAGGCACAGTACCAGATATAGATGAGCGCTTGCCACCAATGCACCCGGAAGACGCTCGTCCGATAAGCTGGGCCGTCGGTGACACCGTCGAGCATCGAGCGACACGCAGGCAGCTGCAGGCTTGGAAAAGCAGCCTTTTCTGGGCTGAGAAGATCTTTGAAGAGCTTGAGCCTTGCAAAGCCGAGCGGTGACTCGCGCTACCGCGGCTTGTGCCTGGACAAGGGTCGGAGAGCGCGTCGGGTAAGTACTGCCACTGGTATAGCAGGCTAGGCACGCGCGCGTAATGTGGGGAACGTCACCGGCGGCCCCTCCGGAGTCCTTCCCCCGCATGCTGAAGGAAAGGCCGATGAAGTCGGTGGATTGCCGGCATGGACCGAAACGAGGTGCGACAGACGTGCTGAAACGCTGACAAACGGCACCAGGTCGCTCCCAGGGCTTACGCTGGCTTACGGGTCCGCGTGTGTGCAGTTGATACAACGCCACTTCGAGTCAGAGATAGCGCAGGCGTACATACTTATGCCGAATGATGGATTCTTTTCAGCGCGTCCTTTTCGCTCCGCGCTTACTCCCGCCGTCCGGTTGAATTCCTTCCTCCACACCCTTTCCGCCTGCCACGCCTGCCCCAGTCGCGCAAGTTCTCCCGCGCGCATTCTGAGCGCATAGCATGGACCGGCCCATCGACTGGTTTGTCGACATCGCCCAGGTGCCTCTCACCCGCTCCGGCCACTCGATCGCCTCCGTATCCCAAACGTGCGTGTTCCACTTCCCTGCGCGACGCGCATTCCCCCAGACGCGTCGAGTGACCGCGTCTTCCATCTCCCAGTCCTTGGCTCGACTCCCTCCTCGTGACCGCGTACATTGGCGCGTTCTCCGCCCTCACATTCACCGCGTCATCTGTCGCCGACCGCTTCCGCCCCACCCAACATGAGGCTGAGGAACGTCGCTCCTTCTTCCGCCGCAAGCTCGACATAGTCGGTGGCCCTGCCATTTTCGCCTTCCGGATAGCACAGTCCCTCTCCACCTCCGCCCTCTTCGGCATCTGCTGCGCTCAGCTTGTCGCCTTCCTCAACGCCCAGGATGAGACGTCCGCCCATGGCGTAAACTGGCCCTTGGTCTTCCAAATTGCCTCGGTCGCACTTTATGTGAGTTCTTCTACGCATATACCCGCCCCCACTTTGCGAACCCCCTACCCCAGGCGTACCTCGTCCTCCTCACCTTCCTCGGCGCGTTTGGCACCACAAGCACCGGCTTCCGCGCGTACACGCACGGCTCCTGGGTGCTTGCATGCGCCTGGGGCGTGTACGCGTACCGCGACCTCTGGCCGCTCGCGACCGTCGACCTTTCCCCTGCGGACTCCGCCGAGGGCACGCTCATGTGGGTCAAGATTGCCCTCCTCTCCATCGCCGGTATCTTCGTCCCTGCCTTCTCCCCCGCAAGTTCGAACCCCGCAACCCGAAGGACGACCTCGTCGCGTCCCCGGAGCAGGTCGCGTCGGCGTGGTCCCTGCTCACGTACGGCTTCATGAGCCCGATCGTGTGGACGGCCTACCGCATGCCCCATCTCCCGTTCGACCTTCTCCCACAGCTATCCGACTTCGACCATCTGCGCAACCTTATCCCCAACAGCTTCCCGGTGCGTATCTGTCAATCAGTGGCTTCTAGCCTGCCGACTCACGATCCTGCGCAGGTCTTGGACCCTATGCGCTCCAAGTCCAGGCTGCCCCTGGCGCTCAAGCTGATCCGTGTGTTTGGTAAGGAGGTGCATTTGACCGCTTTCCCTGCTGATTTGCTAACGCGTCGACGCAGCGGTCGAACTTACCCATCTCGCGGC